GGATTTCAGATAAACAATGAAAGCATTTTAGTGTATGTCCCATGTAATATTTGGGACACATTTATATCCCAAAATTGTTGTTTATTTGAAATTTAAATTTAACTGGGCATCCTGTTTTATTTACTAAATCTGGCAACAATCACAGGTGGGTGTTATGGAGGATGAGGTGAGAAGGTTTGGTAAAGCGAGATCACAAAGGGTCTTGTGTCCCATGCTTGGCAGATAATGGAGAGCCATGAAAGTTTTCAAGCAGGGGAGAAATAAAATCAGATTTGCATCTTAGAATCAACCTTTGGATAACACAACAGAGATCAGAAATTCAGGAACTGAGAGACCAGAAAGCTATTTAAATAGCCTCGACTCCAGGAGAATTGAATTTAACCATACTTCGCAATTCTGCTGGTGAAATTCCAAGGTTCACTCAGTCTGTACAGACCAAACTTTTCTTGTTCAAGAGTTACTAGTTGTTTCAAGGAACAAAGACTATTCTGGGGGTGGGGGATATATATTTTTTGCCTTGGCCAAACCCTGTGTGAAACAAATACTTCTTAAGAGAGCCATAAAGATAACATATATGTATCAATCTCATGCTAGGAAGCTCAATGTCTTTTTCACCATTGCATCCCCAGTAGGTAATCCATAAACATTTGTGAATGAGTTCATTAAGGGCAAAGTCTATATCTTCATCATCTTTGTTTCTTTAGCACCTGACCCAAGGCTGGGAATAAATTTCTCAGAAAATAGTTCCTGATTAAAGTGGTCTAATTAATTAATAACCAGAAGTGCTTTCTATTAACTACACGTCTCCAACGTTATTTCAAACGTACAATCTGGCATAGTTTTCACACAAATGAGAAGAATCCTGCCTCTTATAGTGGACAAGAACACCATTTCAAAAGCTGTAGAATCCTCTGATTTGAGAAAGTCTGGCTGCAGTACTCTGCTTGCTGATCTTATCAGCAGGAGCAGCTGTGACTTATTCCAGTGAGGTGGCCTCAACTCCTTTTGTGGACAAGGTGGTTCCTACCTTCCTCATGTATGTGAAAATGTGAGGGTTTGGGGCTTTTTTTGCTGTTGTTTGTGTGTGTGTGTGTTTTAGTGTTTTCCTGTTTTTATAAGCTTTATCATTGTTTGGGTATTTGTGAAGCCAGATCTTATGTACATGCTTCTCAGTTAGACCATCATAAAGTACTACAAAATCAAGCGGTTTGTCGTTGGTCTATCAGTATCATCACACTTAACTTCTGTATGTATTTTTCTTTCTTTTTTTTTTTTATTTATTTCTAGGAGAGAGAGAGAGACAGCGTGAGCAGGGGAGGGTCGGAGAGAGAGGGAGACACAGACTCTGAAATTGGCTCCAGGCTCTGAGCTGGCAGTCAGCACAGAGCCCGACGCGGGGCCCGAACCCACGAACCGCGGGGCCCGAACCCACGAACCGCGAGATCATGACCTAAGCGAAAGTCGGATGCTTAACCGACTAAGCCACCCAGGCGCCCCTGTATGTATTTTTCAAAGGCTGAAGGGCGAACTTCTTGAGGGCAGGACATATTTATCTTTACAGTCAAAGAACTTTCATTAATATGAAGTTTGGATAGAATTTTTTTAAGGGAAGAGGGGCAGAAAGAGAATGAAAGAGAATCTCAAGCAGGCTCTACTCCCAGCACAGAGCCCGATGAGGGCTCTATCTCACAAGCCTGAGATTATGACCTGAGATGAAGTCAAGAATACGACACTTAACCAACTGAGCCACCCAGGTGCCCCTGGTTTGTTGAATTTTCAAGAGCAGGAAGCCAAAAGGAAAAGAGTAATTCTATGTAGTACATGGGCTAAATAAAAATACAATTTAAAAAATTATTACAGCTACCTGTTATTGAAGATTATGTTTTAAGCATCAGGCCAGAGTGGGGACTTTACATATATTTTATTAAATTCTGATTAAATTTCAACCCTACAAGCTTCTCTTTGAGCTAGGTGACATTATGATCATTTTATGAGTAAAGAAACAGAAACAGATGAGAAATTTGCTCAGGATGACACAGCTAATAATAGGCAGAGCTGAGATCAGAACTCTTGAGTCCAAAATCCAGGAATAGTCTGCATGCCAGGAATTGTCATTTTATTTATTTATTTATTTAGTTAGTTAGTTAGTTATTTTTGAGAGAAAGACAGAGAGAGAGAGAGAGAGAGAGGGAGACACAGAATCTGAAGCAGGCTCCAGGCTCTGAGCTGTTAGCACAGAGCCTGACGACATGGGGCTTGAATTCACTCATGACCTGAGCTGAAGTTGGATGCTTAACTGACTGAGCCACCCAGGAATTGTCATCTTTTAAAGAGTATATTGGAGAGATGAAGAATATATTGTTAGAGTGCCTATAAAACCTCTACTTTAATCAGCAACCAAATAGTTCCCCAGAGGACTAAAGTTTGATCTTTGTAATGACGTGTGAATATACATGTCTGGAAGAAATATGGAGGTATTTCTTATATTTTTGATCTATGTTCTTTTTTCTCTGTTCAGCTTTGTACTAAGGGAGCATGTGACTTTACATATAATTAGAGTCCATCTCCACCTTGCTGGAAGGTAATATTGTTACACTTAAAATGATTATCACACTGTTATTATCAGGGATGAAACATATGGGCTTTAGATGTTACCATCAGTAATACCAACTTCATTTGCCCCATCAAAAGGAATACTTGTAGTGTACGTTCAGTCATGGGATGGAACCTCATTGGTCTGCACGTGTATGAACTCATCTGTGACAATCAAGATTCTCCTCTGAGCTTTCAATGATTGCATATATCCATTATTCTCCAGTCATTTAAAGCTACAAATGTGCATTCTTTGTCTATGCTGAGATCTTTTCAGCCGCCCTCTTCATATTGCTCAACTGCCAGCCTCCTTACTGTGTTCCAGGAAGAATCAGTCGCAATAAGAATGCGGCCTCTGGCCACTGGATTCAGCCATTTGATTTAACCCATTACTGAGCAGGGTTAAATCACACTTTTAACTTTACCAACCTTTTGGAGTCTGTGAAAGCAAAAGTCAAAAGGCAAGCATTGGCATAACCAATTGTATGAATTAGAAGGAATCTGAAGAAGAGGAACCAAACATGATAAAAAGAGGATTGAAAGCATTGGTTTAAAAAAATTGAGGAAACAAATTATGTTTTGCTTCGCTCTGTAAATAACAAGTCTTTCAATGATGGTCTGTGAAGGTGTAAGAATCAAAAAGCATCTTCAGTGTTCTGTCTTCACCAGAAACATAGGAGGACTTTTCTAGAGATGGTTAGGATGGAATTACTGGGGGAAAAATCCTCATCAGGCCTTAATTTACTTATTCATTGCCAGGCAGGGTGTTAACCATGGGAGATATAAAATGAACATGGCATGGCCCTGGCCCTCAAAGCTTACACTTCAGTTCAGGGAGATACATCAACTGTAAGCTTTAGTGTGAAGGGCACCATGAAATAAACATTAAAAGGATATAGTGGGTGGACAAAAGGCGCAGTGATCTACGCTGCCATTCTAATAAATACAATTCATAACTATTCTGTAAGGTTATTCAGGGAGATGACCAAATCTCCCAGGGAAGAGTGAAGTGGAATCTGAATTAACACATGTAGTTGAGTCAAAACACAAGAAAGGGGGTTTTGAAGAAGCAATCAGTTCACACCAGTCCCAAGAAAGCAATGATCTGGTAAGTGTTCTCCATCTTTAATTTCCAGGATATCAATTCTACAGAGCAGAGTGGCTACCAGACGTCACTAAGCACCTCCCCCCACTCCGTGCCCATCCCCCACCTTCCATCTCCACCCCTCTAACTGAGCTATCAGGTGAGCAAGGCTCAGTCTGAGCTCCGCCCTACTTAATTGTGTGACCTGGCACAACTTGCATCACTGCTCGGGGCCTTGTTTCTGCGCCTGTGAGGCAAGGAACTCTAGTAGATTCTAAAGTCCATTTCTGCACTGAATTGTGAAATTGAGACGAGAAACCAGAAAGGAAACTCAAGAGAAACAAAAGTGAAAGTGCCTAAAGGAAATACAGTAGTAAACAAAAAAAAATTATATCTCACTGACAAATGTGGCAGAGTTCCCAAATACTTTGTTTTTTCCAGCAACCGTGAACACGAGACTTGGGAGAGAATGACATGTCTATCACGCCCTCCAAATGTGAATACGATCAGTGTTAACACGAATCCACCTTGCTGCACGCAACTGTCTTCTTAAACAATGCTCCCTGGCCCTGAAAAAACACTTACTAAAAATTTCTTAGAAATTAAATCAAGCCATGACGAATGATCCGTCCCCACATAGACACCACTCCCCCCTCCCTCAAGGAACACCACGCAAGGGTGTGTCCGGCTTTGGGGAGAGAAAAGGGGGTAGAGAAAGGAAAGGATTCCAAGCAATACTAGATTCTGCCTGGCGTTGCCACGCGGTTGTCATAAACAACAGCATCGAGACAAACAGTCTTAAAACTCAAGAAATCCAATAGCCTTTAAACTTTATTAATTCCTCCGTTTATGCTGAGACTTCTCCGAACGTAACCCAGAACCATACACCCGCCTCGGAGCGAGGGCGCGAGCTCCGGGGTGGAAGAGCAAGTGGAGGCGGCCAGAAGGGACCAAGCTGACAGCTTCGCCGAGCGTTTGCAGCGATTGTGGGACCACGACGCGCGACGCCACAGTTAGAGGGTGCGACCTGGACCCACGGGGTCACTGGGCTCCCTAGATGGGAGGATGCTCCCTGTCCAGTGTGGTAGCCTCCTTTCTTGGAGCAGACGAGGGAAGGGTGCGCGCCTGCGCGCGTACACACACACGTACACACACACACACACACATCCTTCCCCTGGAGTTGTGTCTCGTCTCCCTTTTGTTTTTCTCCCTTCCCGGTCATGAGACCCGGAAGTTTTTTTTTTTTTTTTTTAAACCTGTCTCTCTCCCTTTTCCAAACCCTCCCCCCCAATCTATCACATGGCTGAGATAGAATAAAAACAGAAAAATGGCGACGGTCACGTTGTGGCGAGCCTTGCTGCGTCATTAGATAATCCTCATGCAAATAGCGGGAAGAACAAAGGAAGGGGGGGCCCAGGACCCCCGGGGGCGCAGGTGGGCGTGGGGGGTGGCGGGCCGGGCGCGGGGTCGGCCGGGCGCGCGCGGGACCGGGCGCCGGCGGGCAGCGAGCCGCCGCGCGGGGCTTCGTGCCGCCGAGTGTCTGCGTCCGGGTGCGCGCCGGTGCGCCGCGGTGAAGCGCCGGCCGCTGCGCTTCTGGCGCGGGGTGGCGGCGCGCCGGAGCCAGCCGGGGACGCGGGAAGCAGCGGGGGCGACGAGAGCCGTTCCGGCGAAGCTGGCCGCGGCGCGCGCGCACACGCACACGCAGCCGCGGGGCTCGGCCGACTCGGCGCCCGCGCGGGGGGCGGGCCGAGGGCGGGCCGGGTGGCGGCGGGGGCCGAGGGCGCGCCGCTGCCCGGCGCTGGGCGCCTGCCGTCAGCCGCCTCCCCGGACCGCAAGCAGTTCGCCGCCGCGGGGTAGGCAGCGGGCGCTGGGGCGGTGGCACGCGGGGCGGGCCTGGGCTCCGCACTCCCTCCCGGACTTGCAGCGTGTGTTGCCGGGCTGGGTTTGTTGTTGTTGAGGCGTGTGTGTTTTTCCTGCGGGGTTTGGGGCGGGCGGCCTCGCCCCTGGGCATTTCCGCGGTGGTTCTCCGGCCCTCCCTCGGGTGCCTGGAGCGGCGCGGCTTGGGTGAGGGCGCGGGTGGCCCCCAACGCCCCGCTTTAGCCCCTCGGAGGGGAGCGGCGCGGAGGGGCGGGGCGGGGTGCGTGTGTAAATGTTGCGCACTCGCTTTTCCCCCACCCCCGCCTTCTTCCAGGGTGCTGGCGTGGGTTCCTCGCCGTCCGGCGGCGACTGTAAATAGAGCCTGGATGTTGTTTACATGAAGGATCCGGCGGGAGGAGTCTGCGAGGAGGAGGCGGAGGAGGAGGGAGGGAGGAGAGAGGAAGAACGGAGTCCCCGCGGCGGTGGCGGTCCGGGGTGAGGGGGAGCCCCGCGCGGCGTCCAGGGACCGGGCGCTGGTATACCACGAGGCCGGGACGCTGGACCCTAGGGTAGGAGGGAGAATGGGCGCGGGTCGGGGAGGGGGATGTCTGTCAGTGTGGCATTTTTAGCTTGCAACCTGCCACGCAGATTCTCCCGGGCTGGAGGGGAGGGGGTGTGCGGGGAGGGCGACGAAGCCTCGATTTCTCGGTACGTTCTTTCTCCCATCTTCAGCCTTTTCCCGCCTCACTCCGGGTTCACCTGTTTATTTCCATCAGCTAGAGCGTGCAGTTTTTTAAGTAGGCATGGAGGCTGTTTCTTTTATTAGAAACGTTATTGGGGAGGGGGGTGCGTTGTTGTAATTTCTGCCGGTCCTGTTCGGTTTTCAAGAAGGGGGAAGGGACTTGGCGGAGATCGCCTGCTCCTGGCCGCAGCTGAACCCACGGCTTCTCCCTGCCTTCCCGGGCCAAGGAATCCTTCCCCTCACTCAGCTACCCGTATGCCAGCTGCCACCTTTTTGGAGAAGGACCACACCTGTGCTAACTCGCTTTGGAGGAGAGGTGAGCTGAAAAACCCAAGAATCGCCTGTTCCCGAGTTCTTAGCTAATCTCCTATCCCGGAATTGACCAGAAAGTGCTTCTTTCACCTGCTGATTGCACTGGGCACATCCATCTCCCTACCCAGGCAAGTTGTGGTTTACAGATGTGTTGAGATTTCTCTTTCCTCTGGACCTGCACCCCACCAACCAAGTGCTGGGTTTAGATTGAGAGAGATGACCTCCTTCGGTTGGTGCTGTTATTTGTTCCCACCAGGTAGCCTAACGGAATTGTCTGCCCTCCCCCCACAGCCCCTTTTCTTCTGTCCCAAAGAGCTTAGCCCAGAATCTGGCCTAAAGCAGCCTGTGTCTGGCTCCCTTTCCTTGGGCCCCACCCTGGCCCCTCTTGGTTCTTCAGAGCCAAACACGCCTCCCAAGCAGAAGACACACCCAGCCCCAAATCCAGCCATTCCAAAAGGGAGGAGAGAACAGTGGCAGAGAAGGGACCCAAGGGTCTCCTTTCAGTCCCGAATATCCCCACCAGCATTTTCCTCTCCAGTCCTCCTAGGTTTATAATCCCTTGGTTCTTTTTCCCAGCTGTCCCTCCTACCCTTTCTGCCTGCAGTCCTGTGGTAGGTACTTGGGAAGGTAGGGATGAAGAGGGGAGGTGGTCACGCCTATTCCCTAGAGTGAGGCACTTTCCTTCTCCTCAGTCTTCATTTTTGAGTAAAACACTTAAATATCTTTGCTCGCCTATTTGAATTCGTTTTCTTGCTGGCTAAATAATAACTGGTACTCACAAGAAAGGGAAAGGAAAGAGATGAAAAATGAAAGCCCCCCCCCCCCCCCCCCGCGCCGGGTTCTGTCATATGAGCAGCCCCAGCCAGAGCTGCTGAAGACCCCTCTGGAAAAGTCAACAGTTTCTCTTTCATGACATCACCACCTAAGCTCTTCCAACTTTAGCTTCAGAACAGGAAGAAGGCTCAAAATAGAACTATCTTAGGAATCCAGCTCCTTTAGAAGATCAACTTTTAAATCAGCTGCAGGAGGAACACTGAACTTTGACACAGGGAGGGAAACCTGTAGTGTTTGTAGTTGGTTCCTTTGGGGAAGAGTGGAGGGGATGCTTCCCATGCATGTTTAAAAAAAAAAAAAAAGCTTTTCTCAAGATAACTTGGATACCTAGACCAATGAACGATTAATAGGCTGGTTCGAGATTCATTTATTGAATAATTCATATGTTTTGGTATGTCAACAATAACAAGTACTTTTAAGAATGAATTAAAGTGGGGCTCCTGGAGTGTGCTCTAAAAGTCTGTTAAGATAGATCAAGGAGGTTGTGGAGGGAGGCTAGGAGGGAGCACTTGAGGAAGATGAAGCGCGTGCAGTGACTGCTGCTGAGAGGCTCATCGTAATGACTAACTTTTGTGGGGTGACTAACATCCTGGACAAAGAAGTAACGGGTGTCAGGAGTTTCCACCTTTACCTTGGAACTGAACGGCATTTCTCTGAATGTCAGTGTCTCCGTTCTTTTCCTGGATTGGGATGTACCTTTCTCTTTAAGCGAAAAGCATTGTTCAGTCTCTGGGAAGGGCTACTTGAGAAGTGATCATCACTGAAGTATTGACAATTTAAGGATGAGTATTGGGGCAGAGAATACTTGGCATTAATTTGAACATCTGGAGGGTGTCATAGAAGGACTTGCTAGTTGGAGAGGTAACATCTAATCTGGTTCATGTTTAGAGGAATCCGGGTGACAGACAGGGTTGTCTGTAACTGCGTTAACATAGTAGCCATCAGTTTCGTATCCCTGTCCAGCACCTGCAATCTGGCTGTGATAATAAACTGAATTTTAAATTCTGGTAAATTCTTAAAACTGGGACTTGATTCAGTTACTGGAAAACTTTAATATGTTTGGAAACAACTTGCACATATGCATCAGCTTTTTAAACTGTGAAACATGAAATCTAAATATAGATGAAGTATTTCTGATGAAAATTTAGTGTTTGAATTGAGATGTGATGTAAATATAAATTACACTCGCATTTTCAAAGATTTAGTACAAAGAAAGTAAAATAGTTCATGAATAATTTTTATGTTGATGGCATGTTCAAGTGATACTATTTTGGATATATTGAACTAAATGAAATACATTATTAAAATTAACTTAACCTATTTAACTTTTTTTAATATGGCTACTAAAATATTTAAAAATACATATATGGATTGCTTTTTACTTCTCCTGGACAGTACTGGCTTATAACATCGCTCTTTTTGGTCCATGGATTAATTTCAGAAGAGGTGATTACATGAAATCTCTACTTTCCCTTGCTCTTTTCCATGTAGAAATTTTGGGGACCCCAATAGTCAATTATTTTAGTGCATAAGACCTAATAGTGAATGCTTTGCAGATTTCTATGTGGGAGGCATGCCCTACTCAGGAAGGTCAATACAAGTGTGCAGGGGACCAGAAATGCTAGTAGGAGTGTCATGGTGAAATTTAGATGCCCACACATAAGGCTGTAGGTGCTCTTTTAAAAGATTCCTGGGCATACCAAACTCTATCAGAGAACAGTAAAGGACACCATAACAATTGTGACACCTGGTGGCATTTTAGTGATATCGCTCATGTTTGTTTCCTTTTACTCCTTCATTTACTTTCTCTCCTCCACCCCCCCATCCTGGCTCCACTGGTGGTAATTGGGCCCACAAGGCTGCTGATCCCTTGCTTCCGAAAAAAGTATGATGATGACCTAGATGGAGATAGTGCTGTTTTTGGTGGCTGGTTTTGTCTAATGAGGTACACTAATGGCCCTGGAAGGAACTTAGGAGCCATTTTAATAACAATCCCCTCCTCTTACAGATGACAGAAAGTTATGTACCTTGCTTAAGATCATACAGACAAAAGCTGGAATTAAACATACACTTAGGTTGATTATCTATTTACAGAATCCTTAGGGAATGACGAGGTTCATCAGTTAATCAAATACCTGTTGAGCGTGCACTTTGTGGAAAGGACTGTGATTAGTGTCTTGAAGTGACATGAAGAAAGCAGTCTCTGACCTTAGGGACAATACTTCTGATCGGAAGAAATAATTAGAAGCCATGCCAAATTAAATTACAGTACAGGCATGCCTCGTTTTATGGTGCTTCACAGATACTGTGGTTTTTACACATTGAAGGTTTGCGGCAGTCTTGTGTCAGGCAAGTCCATTGGCACCATTTTCCCAACAGCATTTGCTTACTGTGTGTCTCTGTCACATTTTGGTAATTCTCATAATTTTTCATTACACCTGTGACAGTGATCCATGAATATGACTTGCTAAAAGCTCAGATGATAATCATTTTTTGGCAAAATACTTTTTCGTTAAAGTACGTACATTGTTTCTTGAGACAAGATGCCGTCATACATTTAATAGGCTACCATGTAGCATAAACATAACCTTTCTATGCATTGGGAAACCAGAAAAATTATTTTGACCCCTTTTGTTGGGATGGTTTAGAGCAGTGGTCTAGAACTGGACCTGTCATCCCTCCAAGGTATGCCTGTATGAGAAAGTGTTTACTATTAAAAATGAGTGCAGTACTGCTGTGGCTTATGTTACAGGTAGAAATGTGTTTATTTTACAGATGCAGGACTGAAAGCTCTGAGGATGGTGGACCCTGCAGAAAAGAGGAGTTTAATTGTGTTTCTGGAATGCTGCAGGGTTCTAGAACTCGAGGTCAGTGAAAGTTTTTGGTTTTGCCCCTTTTAGCTGGTCCTTAAGGGAATTTCAGAATCTAAGGGCCAGCATTTTATGTGGCAGCACTGTAATGGGGAAGTCATAGATTAATTAGAGACAGGGTATTTAGAGATGGTTAGCTTATTAAGGTAGATCATTTTGACTTTAAAAAGGTTTAATACAGAAGTGAAATCAGAATAAAACTGACTTGTGAGCGGACTCTAAAATCTAAACTCTGTGGAAAAAATGGAATCGAGAACAAAATCAGAAAGCAAAAGAACTGTGGCATAGACAGTTGGACTAAAAGTGTGTATGGTGAGTGTGTTAAGAGGAAAAGGTTAGTGATACAATTTATGGGTTAATCCACTTATTTGTAAGTTTTTAGTCTCCTGTAACCTTTTTGGACTAAAATTCCCATTAGCATTAGTAAGAAAGCATGTCCTTTCTTTCTTTCTTTCTCTACATCATTGTGTACATACTTTATTTGATAGGTCTTTTCCTTGAGATGGATCTGTTAGGGTCGTGTAGTAGGAGATGACGTAGAGGTCGGTGCTGAAAGTGGGTAAAACCTGACACTCCCTTTATAATTCCTCCCAATTAATGCTTCTCTGTGACAATCAGGGTAGACGTTGCACAGGGCAGTGGTCCTTGGCTTCTCCTTGCCTTTTTAGCCAGTTTCTTTCTCCTTAAAAAAGGTACCTGTAATCCCCTCACTCCAGGTCTCCTAATAATCTCTAAAACAAGTTAGTTTTTAAAAACCGTTGCTATAGCAAAGCTTTGCAGCAATATGCATGTATACGTTCATGTACTTCTAACAAAGTAGTAATTGACATTTGAGCATTTTTTGTTGACAGTACATTTTTATAACCTTACAGTTTGGTCAGATATGCACATTTTATAATACTCAGTTGGATTTCTGTTTTCAAGTTGGAAAACAATCACACTTCAGTAAAAGACTGATGGATTTAATTAAATGATCTTATTTAAACTATTGTGTTTTAAAAGTGTTTTTTAAATACATTGTATTGCCTGCAGCTTATTTTATGGTGCTTCCATTTACTTACTCAGGTATTTGAAAGTTCAAAATCATCATTTTTGGGGGTGCCTGGGTGCTTAGTTGGTTAAGCGTCCAACTTCGGCTCAGGTCATGATCTCATGGTTCATGGGTTTGAGCCCCACATCGGGCTCTGTGATGACGGCTCGGAGCTTGGAGCCTGTTTTGGATTCTGTGTCTCCCTCTCTCTCTGACCCTTCCCTGCTCATGTGCGTGCTCTCTTTCTCTCTCTCTCAGAAAAAAGAAACCTTAAAAAATTTCAAAATCATCATTTTTGGTCTATAGATAAGAGGGATGTGACATGTTCTTTGTGCATTTGCACGCCACAATATTTATTTTCTTTTTAAAATTTTTTAAGTTTATTTATTTTGAGAGAGAGAGAGCATGAGTGGAGTAGGGGTAGGGGCAGCGAGAGAGAGGATGGAGAGAATCCCAAGCACGCTCTGCACTGCCAGCTGCAGAGCCCTGTGCAGGGCTTGAACTCTCACATGACCTGAGCTGTAACCAAGAGTCAGACGCATAACTGACCAAGTCACCCAGGCGCCCCTGTACTCTGCAAGATTTAAAAGCAAATTCTTTGGTATACCCATTTGCCATAAGTACTTGATTTACTGGTAATATTAATGTATGTGTTATGAAGAAATTGATTTTAAAGTTCTATGACAAACATTTTTATCATAGAACTTTAAAATCAATTTGATCTCTGTAGGAAGCATTTTACATCACTATTTTGTTTCTTCTTTTACTTTGTGGTATACTTTGATATGTAGCATAAGTACCTGCAGTCACTTGTTTTAATATTAAAACAGTTTCATTTTTATAAGAAAACTCTTGAGAAAGATATGTTTCAGATTTGATTTTTTAAAAATGGACATTTATAAAGAATAATTTCCAAGAAGAAAGAAGATCTTTTTGCATTTCTTAAGTTTATTTATCAGTATTTATAAAATACAATAACCCATATTTTTCTTCCTTGAAACTGCTTTTTTTTTAAATTACTCTGTAATTCTGTTAATGTATGTATTCACAGTATAATGTCAATTTGCTTTTTATCCCTTGGTCTGCGAGGTGTTGTATTTTCTTTTTTTCATCCCAGTTTAGACAGAATAAAATGAAGTGAGAGAAAAATAAGGAAATATCTTTTATTTAATGTACCAGAAATGTTTAGTTGTGTGGGTTTTGGTCATGGCTAAATAAAGTGAATTTTAGCTTTGTAGTACAGCATGAACTAAGTTCATCTTGGTATACTTCACATTTAGATGTTTAGTTACATTAATACTGAGCGTAGAACAGTCTAATCACTACTAAGTTTATCAAGGCCAGTTATTTGTTTTCATACTGATCTGCCTTTCAGTGTCTCACAGTAAGTATTCGTCCTTTCTGAACTGACAGAACTTGTCCAGGAAATGTTAGGTGGTAATCTTTCTATCCTCTTTGACAGTTCAGCTATCTAAAATTTTATTCTCAAGTAATCATAATATCTTTGTGCATGTAACAGATGTTTATAATTTGGGTGAAAATGTGCGGCTATTTCCAAGAACGTAAGGTTATGAGATCCAGCCGTTTTTTGTGTGTTTTTTTTTAAGCTTCGTTGCCCTCTCGTGTTTCAACTCTGTATTACATCAATTGGCTAAAACCTAGGCATTATGACCTCCTTAAGTTTTAGGTATTTTTGTACTTTAGAGAATGTTGTTTTAATTTGTGTGAAGGTGGATTATTTCGTTGGATGTTACTTTTCTGAAGATAAGGTCAGTTTCATAGGGCATAGATTGTACTGTACTCCCATTTTCTGCTTCTCATCTAAAGAATTGACTCATCATCTATCTGTCTTATTTGAAGTATAGTGCTAATATCTAATTTGCATATAATGAATCATTGAAACTGAAAAAATGCCTAATTGAAAACATAATTATTTTTCAAATATCTGTCGAGTTCCACTCATATTGAAATAACTTGAGATCTTATGACTGACATGGAAAAAAACCAAGTGAATCATGGTTTTAATAAGTTAATAATCGAAAGCCTGAATTCCAATTTCAGAATCTTTTTATACTTTTTATTAAAAATAAGAATCATCCTTGAAATGACTTCAGGGTATGTCTCAAAGGTACAGATAATTTCAAAGAAAGTGATCTGTGTATGTTGATTTTTTTTTTTTTAATGCATTCCAGAGGTTTGTCAATGACTTGCACTGCCATAACTGTAGAATTGATACTAACTGTAGTGGAAAACACCCTGCAGGTGTGCTAAGTACATAATTGTCATCAGTGTCATCAATTTGAGTACATTCTTAGAACTCAGAGTAAGAATAATCAAAGTCATATTTTTTTCTTTTTTCCTAATGTGCAATTCTCCTTAAAGCATAAAATCCCCATTAGTTTCTGCTTCATTACCTGAGATACTGAGAAAATTAAAAATCTGAATCCAAAATTAAGTGTTTTCAGAAATCCCTTTGTGTAAATTGTGTATCAGGTTGATGAGTTGAATGGTCAGGTTGTAGTAGAGGGGAAAAAAAACCCTGGTCTTGATCATCGGACATGGATTGGAGCCCAGGTTTACCATAACTTAGGGCATGATCTCAGGGAAATCACCTAAGTTCTCAGGTTTTTATTTTTTATCTGTAAAATGGGCTAATGATATCTAATCTATTTTTAAAATCTTTTTGTGATAATGAGTAATTCATGGATAGCCCCCCCATATGAGTTCTTGTGAAAACCAAATGAGAAGCACATAGGAAATTACTTAACGTAATGCACGTGAGAAGTATCCTCGCTGTGTTTGTGAGCACTTTGAGGATAAGGAGCATTTGCTGAACATCTAGAAGAGATCTTGGAACAGAGTAGTTCCTTATTAAGTTTTTTTTCTTTTTTTTAATGTTGTTTATTTTTGAGAGAGAGAGACAGCGTGAGCAGGGGAGGGTCAGAGAGAGAGGGAGACACAGAATCCGAAGCAGGCTCCAGGCTCTGAGCGAGCTGTCAGCACAGAGCCCGATTCGGGGCTCGAACCCACGAACCGTGAGATCGTGACCTGAGCCAAAGTCGTATGCTCAACCGACTGAGCCACCCAGGCGCCCCACTAAGTTTTTATTACATAGATGATTGAGGTCAGGGAGACAGAGTTGGTGAATCCATGCATGGAAGAGATAACACTGAAATAGCTGGGAAGCTTACTGCATGTTTGATGTATTGTCAGAGTTGAAAGCTTAATCATATGGTTGCTCATCATTAATATGCATTCATCTTGTGTTCATCTTTCATTCTAATATGATTCAACTGGGCCTTTTACTATTTCAGTCTCACCACTTGCTGGGCCATGACCCTACTTTTTCTTTTGCTTCTTCACATCTCAAACCGGAAGGGGATCTTTATTTCTTCACTTCATGGGAACCTTCGGAGGAAGTCATGTAGCCACCCAGAAAGGATGGTGCTGGCCGACACCGTGACTGACAGGCTGCCCTGGCTCAGTTATCACAGTGCTGATGCTGTCCATTCTAAAGGTACAGTACTGTGATAACTGAAGGATGGCAGCCATCTTGCCTTCCATCAAAGGAGTCCCATCGTGCCCAGGAAGGAAGACAGAAGATGAATCAGGCACATAAAGCAGTGGTGGGAGATGTGGAAACCCACTTACCCTGTTCCTGTATTATATCTCTCCCGGAAAATAGGGTATGTTACTCCCTCTGTCTTTGCCTTGTTTTGTAATATCGTGGGGAGAAGGAGGAGTTGGATAGTTGCTTGCATGGCGGGATGAAGACTGTTGCACTGAATGGACATGTATTAAGATCTTTGGAACTTTTTAAGATGCTGATACTAGATGAGTGCTTAATGTGAATTAGTATTTCTGAAGCAGTATTCAGAGACATTTTGCCTTTTTTTTTTTTTTTTTTTGGATTTTATTTTTAAGTAATCTCTATACCCAGCATCGGCCTTGATGTCACAACCCTGAGATCAAGTCACATGCTCCACCCACTGAGCCAGCTAGGTACTCCCCCACCCCACCTTCCCCCCCACTCCACTGGAAAAAGGAATTTTTATTAACATACAAAGACCAGACCAGGAGGCAGGGAGAGCTGCACTGGGATTGTGAGGAGCAATTGATTTGTTATTTTTATAAACATAAGAGGTAATCTAATTGGAATAGCTAGATACTTGTCATTATTGGATGTTCATAATGAAATTCAACTTAAACAGGGAGAGGAAAGCCTTACATGTTGAACAGCATTGATATATATTTAGGTTTATTTATTTATTTTGAGAGCACAAGTAGGGGAGGAGGAGAGAGAGTCCCCAGCAGGCACCATGCTGTCAGTGCAGAGCCCGATGCAGGGCTTGATCCACAAATCCTGAGGTTGTAATCAAGAAGTCCTATGCTTAACTTGGTTGCCCCTGAACAACATTGATATTTTTGCATGAATAAAATTATATCTTTGTGCTTGAGGAATGGGTAGGGACATATCCTGTTTCTTCAGGAATAATTTAGAATCTAGTCTAATTCAAAAACTGTTTGCTAAATCTCTATGTTACTGTCACATTTCATGAAAACAAAATGTAAGTAATTTTATTTCTGTCAAGAATTGAGGACCACTCTGCAGTGACCTCTAAAACAAATTGATTTCAAGGATATAAGGCTATGAATACCAGCCCAGCATCAGGATTGCATAAAACGCTAGGATGTTTAACAGAGCATGTGTCTTTAGCCTGCATCCTACACTGAAGAATGCTGTTTGGGGTGGGGATCTTAAAGAATCCAGGGTTTCCCACATCCTTCAAGACCCCTTCAGAAGCTGTACACATGGATCAGCAGCAGACAAGAGTCAGAGTGCCTGACCTTCTTATGTGTTAGATCACAGTCTACTGCAAGGTCCAGTAATTTCATACAGCTTAGGCTCAGTCCATTAAACAGAGACCTCTTACCTCTTTCAAGGTTCATGTCTGTACCTTGGATTCTGACACTCCCCCCACCCCCCTGTGGACAGCTGACTGGTGGAGGAACCCAAAGCATTGACACACTCATATGCTGGGGCAAAGAGATGACCGAGCCTGCTGAGGTCAGGGTGTGTCTACCACAGGGCGAGAGGAGCAGGGAAGGAAGAACTGTA